GGCTCCGAGGTTCACAGGGTTCAATGGCAGGAGCACTGGCGCTGGTAGGTGGCCTTGTGATTGAGGCGATCCGGGCCTCTCAGGGGTCGGAGGGTTCCGGGGGTTGGGGCACTGACTCCAGTGGGTGGCCTTGCCGTTGTGTCGTTGGTCGAGCTCACTGTGTTTTGGGGCTTGGAGCGCTGACGCTAGCGAGTGGCTTTCCGGTTGAGGTGATCCGGGCTTCTCAGGGTTCGAGGGCCCGAAACGCTGATTGTTCCCCATGTCCGGATTCTCCGCTCCCCCTCTCCTCCTTCATCCTCCCCTTCCCCCTCTCGACCGGGTCATCACTGTTTACACAACACCTGTTTACACCGTCCGAAGCGGCCTGCCCGCGTCACGTGTCCTGTACCTTGCCAACACGACCGGCACAAGACCACGTGGTTCGACGTGACGTGGACATGACTGACGACACGAGACCAATGTTGCCAGACACAACCTAAGTTTTGGTTTCGGTATCTGCTGATGCTTCAACCAAGATTACAGAAATAATATTCCACATTTCGCGAACCCGAAGGCGTAGCGCTGTTGAGTAGTGCTTTGAGAAATGGAATCACAAGCAAGTATAATTTTTTTTGGAATTGAGCGGAGTTGTCCTTCAAGGGAATAAAAAGCGAGACCAGGCCAAATGAAAGAGGCAACTGCTTTTTTTATTACTGGGCAAAGAGCATAGGTGCCAACCTCCTGGGCTATGGGACACCGGTGAAAGACTCACCTCAAGCAGGTCGATGCTATCATCCACATTCTTCAGCAGACTGCGCAGGATGTTCTCTTAACAGTTGGGGAAGGAGGACTTGTAATCTGGCAGCTTGGCCACACCTGGCCACATGTCCTCGGTCGGAGTGCCCAGCCTCCTAAGGGAGGGCACAAACAGTTACATCATCCCTGACCTGCGCTAGCACCCATTAGCCCATTAAAGACAACTAAACTAAAGCTGGATTCTGAGAACAGGGGTGGAACTCATAAAATGTACTTGGGAGCAGCCACGGGAGCAGCTGAAACAGCTGTTTTGGAGCAGCTTGGGAGCAGCTAAAACCTGGAGCAGGCTAGGAGCAGCTCAGATAAGTTTTCACTGCACTTCAGCTTGTGTCTTAGACAAGCACGGGAGCAATTTCAATTGTGCTTAGCAGCACAGATGAACATGAGTGTTTAGGGACCTAGGTAGATGGGATAACAGTGTAACAGATGCGAAAACTTGAAACTTTGTGAGCCTTAATGAGAATCAAAAGGCAAGTACCATATGTTTATGCAGACAGTATCCTTGATATTTTCTGAGTAACTTACAGCTGCCCAAAATGCAAAAAAAAAAAAAAAAAGCACTGCATATCGCACAATCCACACATGCTCAACATAGTAATTATTAGGGGTGTCGCGAACCGGCCGCGGTTCGAGTTCGACCAGGTTCGACTTTTTCGAACTTTTAGTGGAAAGTTCGTCGAACCTTGTATTGAGGTTCGACTCGTGTGCGCATGCGCGACAGGCTGGCCAGTTGGCTTCGGATTGGATGGTAATGGCTAAGAGATGAATTAAGTGCAGCGCTGATCGGCTATTTCAGTCAATACAGTACTAAAATTTAAGTTATTAACTTCTTCAATGAATAGAATTAGTTTCTTTTAATTGCAGTTGTTCACACAATAAAATAACCCTTCGCATAAAAAAAGAAATTCTCCAAACCTAGACATGCTTGTATCAAGGTCTGGCCACACTGTCCACAAAGTCGAACCGGTCGAACCTGGTGAGAAGTTCGAAGGTTCGTCGAACCGGTTCGACCCAGTCGAACCCCGAAAGTTCGACCAAAAAATCTGGTTCGACAAAAGTTCGCGACACCCCTAGTAATTATATGCGCGAACCACATGACGTGCGCAAGCAACGGACGTGCAGTTGCGTGGAGGAACAGGGTAACAAATTTCGAGTTTATCTTATTGTGCAACTCAATATTGAAACAGCAGACTACGATTAACGGAGTTATCATCATGTCGTATTACACCTGAGACTGCGGTGGAAGAAATCGGAAGAACTTTCCGATTTCTTCCACCGCAGTCTCAGGTGTAATACGACATGATTAGCTACCACCAGCTCGCCTGCACTCTCACCGTCTTTTCACTAGGAGTTATCATATTCGAAGCGGTAAGCAGGAGCAAGGTTAAAGTAGCCCCGAGCAGATCTACCGCTCGCATGAGAGCTGCTGGCCGGTAAGGTTTCAGTTCTATCAAATCACGATTTATCTTGCGGGAATGCGGTTTCAACCTCTAACGATGGAGTACTAAAAGGAATCTTTTACTCATTCGTTTTCAACTGGCTGACGTCCAGATCCCGGTTGCAGAGCCTCAGGCGATCTGACGCTGAACGACTCGACCTCACCTCTGCCGATCTGCTAAACCACTGATGGTTGAAGAATAAGAATCCAGTCGCAGGTGCTGTACCGCTAAAAATCCGACCCCACATTTTTTCACACGCTTCCGATTTGAGATACACAGGGAGAATAAACACAACAAATACGGATTGCAAGGCCGACCGAGCTAAACGCGCTCATTCTTGCCAATCGAGTCAATAGAAACCGAAACGAAGACAAAATACAATTTTCTTGGCGCGTGTTTTGCGAGTTGGTGCATAATGGCGTGAGGTATTGGCTGTGGCGCAGTTTCCGCAACATGGCGCAGACAAATTCGTCTGGCGCAAAATGGCGCAAATGGCGCAGCCGTTCCACCTCTGAGAGAACAAGATAAGCCTTCTCTCTTACATTACATAGTGCCCGAATAAATCCTTCAATCGGGCATTATGCCCGACCGAATGGACATAGCCCATTCTTCACTAGTAAAATATTCTGCTTCCGCCTGTTTCAGTAGAGGCCTCCTCCACAGCGTTCAACAGGCAGTACACACACACACGACTTTGCAACAATGAAAAGCAGTCGAGGACGGAACGAGGACAGAAAAAGCTGAAAACCGATTCCTTCTATGCAAAAACTACTAAAGCGTTAAAAGAGAACAAAAATGCCGACGCCCAGTTATATGAACTACAACAGCGAAATAATGTCACCTGAAGATGCGGAAGAGCTGGTCAATCTCCGAGTCGCCGTGGAAGTGCGGCCTCTTGTTGATAATCTCGACGAAGATGCACCCAATGCTCCAAATGTCAATGGGGGTGGATAGCGGGGCGAGCTGAGCAGGACCTCTGGGGCCCGGTACCAGAGCGTGACAATCTTGTGGGTATACACCCGGATCGGAATGCCGAAGGCCCTGGCCAGCCCAAAGTCGGCCAGCTTAATGTTACCCTTCTGGTCGATGAGAAAGTTCTGCGGCTTCAGATCTCGGTGGAGCACCCGCCGCCGATGGCAGAACAGGATCCCTTTCAGGATCTGCTTCAGGTGGCTCTGCAGTAAAGCGCCGTTCACACTCTTGTGACCAAGTAAGACAGAGAGACCAGAGCGGTTTTTAAGCGTTTTGTGACTTCCGGATGCAATGCAGCGGAGCTGGTCCTAAGAGATCGCAAGAGGCTTAAAAATCTCTAGGTCTTACTCGGTCGCAAGAGAGATTAGATAACAGGGTGGGGCACAACGCAATATTTTGTTCAAAGGGGCCGTGATACTGAACTGAAACGTTTCTCACTTTACGCAAGATTATTGGCACCAGTGGAACCAATGCATGCTCGCACACCATGCCGCCGACCGAGAAGTGTTTTTGCCACGGTGTAATCTCAGGGATAAAAAAACTTTGTTTCATTCTCTATGGCGAAATGCAACGATGCGGTCATTGGGATCGTGGCATTGCAGTTTATATGGATTTCTTTCTGTTCCCCACTATCGAACAAAACACCGGAGCTAACAGTTCAATCTCTAATAGATATGCAGGCAAATGAATATTACCCCTGAGCTCGAATCCGAGTGGAGAGACCAACCCAGGAGGATAGCAGTAACGGTCCCAGACATTGGTTCTAGAGGGGCCGAATTACACATATCGGTTCTGAGGAAAGTGGGGGGGGGGGGGGGGGGGGGGGCACTAATCCAGCAGGAGAGATCATGAGGGACAGTCACGGCAGACGGCGCCCAGGAGATTATGCCCGCCATCGCCGTCGCGCTTAGTGACAACGGAGAGCTCCGGAAGATTGTGTAGGCAGTGAACTCCTAATCTAACCAGGGGCGGATTTAGAGGGGGGGGGGGGGGAGGGTCCGGATGTCCTGACCCCCCTCTTGATTTTTGCATGTGTAAAATTTAGGGCGTGAAACGAGGGAGAGGGGGAGGGGGTTCCTATAGATATGGTACGCTGACCAACACCTGACCCCCCCCCCCCCCCCCCTTCTTTCTTAGGAAATTCCTGCATCCGCCCCTGAATCTAACTGTCACCTTTTTGAACGAGCGGCCAAAGCGACGGCACCTGCGGCACAACCACTGCCTCTCGCGGTTACTGGTGGTTGCTTAGTTGCTTGAGAAATAGGAAAAGCTTTCAAAAAGCGGCTTCCTTTCAAAATTGTGTGACTTTACTGACGTCACAAACAACAATGACTATGCCCCGTTTCTCCTTACGATAGACCGCAGAGAACCCTACGAGTTATCAGAGCCAATCCAATGCCGCGTAAGCGTCACGTTACCTTTGGGGCGAACGCAGCGAACCACAAGGCGCGTGGTCACGTGATAGGTTTACATGTGCTGGATTAGCTGCTACGGCTTGCAGCGTCCGTTGCGGTCCATCGTATGCTGAAACGGAGTATTAGATATAAGAACGTAAAACTGACCAGATAAGAAAATAAGAGGGTGTGTCTTGCGCCCCTATGTAACGGTCATAGGCAGGTGAAAGATTTTTGGTTTTGCAAGCACTGAATATAGGGGAAAAAAAAAAAAGAAAGCTCACTGATTTGTAAACGCCTTTGAACATATGTATGGCAGGTTGGCGCTTTCACAGGCAGCGTCCGACTATGATAGGTGGCGCAAGCTACCGCCCGATATAAAGGGACCAGGCAATATTCATCCATCCATCCAGCAAAAGGCTGCGGACGTCATTGACGGACGGGGCATCGTGAATTTTTGTAGACGATGGCTTTACGTACCTTGGGGATAAACTTTGCTCGTCTTCTGCAAACTTGTTCACCCAACAGGTAAGTTAACGCTGCGTACTTTGTACGCCCTTATGTATCTCAAAACAACCATCATTTTAGAGTTTCCTAAACCTAAAAAGGACGCGCGACTTACCGAGGTTTGAGGCTGAAGGTTAACCACATTACCCCAGTGTTTTCAAAACTCTACGCTTTCCAAACCTACAAGCCCTCACATTCTTTTCAGAGAAACATCGCAGAGTAATACAGAGTGTGTCTATGTTTAATACTGAGAGTTTGTTTTCCGTACTGGTGTGCACATAGACATCATACCTTAACATATCAGCTTTTCAAAATCCTTATACCTGTTCTTTTTTTTTTTACTTTCCTTTTACGCGAAGCTTGCAAGGTACAGCAGTCACGAGGTGTCTAGCATCGGTGCAGACTCCCAAAGACGTCGGTGGCAATCCGGAAGATGCAGAGATCGTACTCGCCGATCCCGTGGAACTGCAGAAGAAAAAAGAGGTCACCGAAGCGTTGATTACTGTGGACACCCCAGTAAGTCCTTTTGCGTGAAGGTCTGTTTCGTGCTGTTGGACGATTCGGGGTGTTATACGTAAAGTCACCGCACAACGGTATGGTTTTTTTACGCTTACTTTAAGGTGGAGAGTGATGTGTGTTGAGGAGAGTTTAGAGGACAACAGTTATTATGTGCCTGAACTACCTCTAGATACACGACAGAGAATTATACTGGGTCTCACCTGATTGGTCACTGCACGCCCGGCGTCTAACTTGTGGGAGCAGTAAGAAGTGAGAGGAACTTGGCGATATATAATAGAGCGACACGCGGGCTTGACGTCACGGAGCTGCTGCGGCGCTGCAATCGCGCCGGAGCTGGGTGGTGTGGGCAAAAGGGCGCATGTTTTGCATGGGCGTCATACCATTTCATCATGCCGCAAAGCTATGTAGCCGTTAATTGCACCGAAATGTGCAGCAAAAGTAGCGGGGTGAGTTTCCACAAGTTCCTGGCTGACTCTGAAAGGCGCAAAAGGTGGATAATATCCGTGGATCGAAAATAATGGTTGCCTCGCGCGGACAACCGTTTGTGCGGCAAGCACTTTCTTGAAAACAAGTGTGGCTTCCTTTTCAATCTTTGTCCCGAGGCTTGCTTATGTGCAGGAAAACCGTCGTCTGATTGAGATTACCGGGATTTTGTTCCCACGGTGTTCGAGCACAAAGCACCGGCCAAGCGCTCGTCGCAGGCTCACTACACGTGTGCTACCAAGCGGAACGAGATCGGCGACAGAACGGCAATGTTGTAGGCGTTACCGAAAAAAAGTAACGAGATGCATTACTCGTTACTTGCAAATAAAAGGAAGGCGTTACCGACCTACGTTGCCTTGACTCGAAAACGCTGTGTGTATGTAATTAATTAATAAATACACCTCAGCAGACCCTAAATCTGCTGATCCCGCCTGCACTGCGGAAACCGGCTCGAAGTAATCGTAAGCCTTGAGAGATTTGTACGCCTCCACCTTGTGAGCCGTCAACTGGCTTGGCGAAAAAACTAAATAAACGACGATGTGAGCCGTCAACGTCGGTGGCAGCAACTTCGCGTCAAAATTGCGGTCTTGTATACGGCGTACGGATCATAGATGGCAACGCCGTTCACGCACAGTTTGCCTCGATACCGCTGTCGTTCGGGCTTGGGCAACGAGCTCAAATAGTCAGACATAATGTACGACATACGTTGGCTGAAAATACGACGTACAAATAAAGCCAGAAGCGTCTCTATAACATCAACAACGAGCGCACACCATAGAACGCAATGGCAAAAACATGGAGAGCTTGGCCGCTTTTGCCCACATAGCTGCTGCGCATGCGCGGCCTTTCGGCCGTGTTGGTAAACAGAGCCGCGCTGCGTGTCGGTCTATGGGCACAAGTTTCTTGGTTCATACTGAGGAAATTTAGTAAAATGGGCTCAAAACAAGAAAGAGTACTATTGGATATGAATAAAACGTGAACAGTGGAGTGCGTGGCCTTCGGTGCTGCGCTACCTATGGGCAACTAGAAATTGACAAAACTATGGGTGGAAGAGGCTGCAAGATTAAGTGCCCACTCAAACGTGCTCATCCTCATAACCCCTCTTTCCACTTTGCAGTTTTATCAGTTCCTGGTTGCCTCCAGGTAGCGCACCATGTATTGAAAGCCATGCGCTCTGCCGTTCACATTTTATTCGTTCCCGACAGTACATTTCCTAGCCAGTGGTCCCAAAACCTAACGACTTAGGCAAGGCTTCGAGTCAAGCTTCCATCGAGATTTAGCTTCCTATGCCTTCCACGCACTGCGGTGTTATTGAAAAGAAAACAAGTCGTGTCATAGAGGCCATGGAGAGATTGTCGTGACGTTGGTCATAGAAGTGACAGCGCAGCAGACAAGTAAGCATTGTGGCATTCAAACCTTTGGCTTCCATTGGCTGTCGGGCAGGCTATGGCTAGATGAACATTCATTGTACGTTCGCTATCCGTGTCACTGTGATCTGACATAATCGTAACATCACCAAGTAGAAATTCAGCGATCCAAACAAGGCTGTAGTCGACACACTACACCGTAAAATACTGATCGTCTGCCCGTCCCACAATAAGCGCCCACCCCTCAATTTCGTAACGTCTGGAAAATGCGTAAAGGACATATCTTCACATACTATTGACCAAAGGAATGCCCATCCCCCAGTTTTACACAATGATCCCCAAAGTCTGAGTGGGCGCTTGCTGGGGATATTAGGGTAGTCACCGACAGTATGAGCACGGCGGGGAGGGCTCTCAGTTGTCCTGCCTTCAGCGCAAGCTTCCCTACCTCCAGTAAAGGCTCGTTCATGCACTTGAGACTGCTTACCACCTCTTGTGATCTCTTACGACGAGAGAATACACTTGCACCACCTATCGGGCATCTGTGAAACAGATTCCGTATATTTCTCCTTTTTTTGTTTTTTTGCGTGCATCATTTTTTTTTATTTTTAGCAGGAAAAAAAATCTTTTTACAATGTTTTATAAGCTACCGTTTTTCATAGACAGTATGCACACTAGATCTCGTGAATACTGCAAACCCGTTGCTCTAGTGAAATGCAGTTCAAGCGCCAGTCCATAGACGGCGCCAGTGTCTTCTCGTTGTCGGAGCCGTGTATAGAGAGAGTTTGGTCAATGGGAGGAGCGGGCAGAGCTAGGGCGTGCACCAGACACAGATAGAGGGCTTGGCATGCTCTCTTTGCCAACCAGAAGGCGAAAAGAATCCCCTAGCGGTGGTAGCGAGAAACAGTTTTAATAAGAGCACAAGTGTTAAATGTAGTAACTCTTCATGGTTGAAAATGTGGTGCACATGATGTTTCGATCATGATCGTGCAAAAAGATGTAAGAAACGAATGTGCCGCTCGAACTCTGTCTTACTCGGACAGTGTGTGACCGCTCGGTTGGCAGATTCCCGGCCTTTGGTGCCTGGCATACGGATTATGTCGATAGTTCCGGTAGTCTCGCTCTTCCACCATAATTTTGAATGACCGTGACTGAAACATCACGCGCACCATATTTTCAGTCACCGAGAGTTATTAAGGGAACACGCCGTCCACTCTCAGATGGACATTGCACCGCTGACCGGCGTTCCGGAGGAGCACATCAAAACCCGCCGGGTTCGGATCTTCGTGCCGGCCCGCAACGCAATGCAGTCCGGCACCAACAACACCCACGCCTGGAGGATGGAGTTTGACAACCGCGAACGCTGGGAGAACCCCCTGATGGGCTGGTGCTCGTCGTGAGTGCCCCAGATTTTTTTCAAAGCGATAGCAGAGCTTTTTAATACGCTGCTGGTCAGGAAGCTTCAGCCAGAGCTTTGTATGAGATCGAGAATTTACGTCGAGTGCTCCACTGTCCTTAAAGGCCGACAAGCAGCCAGGAAGGAGGAACCTCTCCCTCGATTCCATTTGAGAATAGAGAGAGATACCCTGCTTCCTTTATCCTTTCTGCGGGGAATAGCTCAGGGCAACACCACCAGGTGTCCAGACCGGAGTGCTCCTCCCGTGACATCACCGCTGGAGGCGATCGAGTTGGGCCGAAGGCCTCGGAATAGCGCTGATGTGAAGGCATCTCGCGTAAATACACTGTCGTAAAAACAAGCTTTTGCCGGTATAAACAAGCTTTATTATCTTGAAAGCAGTTTAGAAATAACAGACAGTCTAGGAGACAAATTTTGTTGCACAAAAAGCGATCGGGTGCCACGGAATAGTGCTGACGTTGAAGCATCCCGAGTGGATTCACATTCATAGCTACGAGCTTTTAGTAACACAGTCACGTTTTATTATCTAGAATGACAGCCATATGCTACAATAAGGCTAGAAAAATCATTAGGGCATAGGAAAGTGGAGGCGCAGTGGGAGAGCAATACATGTACAACGATGCCTTGGGAAAGATGGTGTAAGTATTGTTCGGAAAGATGGATGCTTCAGAAACAAGACTTCTCGTAAAATGGTATGACACCGAATAATCCGACATGGCAAAGCAGTTAATAGCAACAATGTAATGCAGGGGTGTCAAACACGTGGCCCGCCTGCAACTGGCTGCTAGCCCCTGTTCCCATGTCTCGAGCATTAGAAATGGCATGCATCGTAATGATCCACTCGAAGCGCAGCTCTGCTCTTATAATGTAATTGCATAATTCATATGTTTTCATTTACCTTCTGTTTTGTTAAAAGTTTTGCTTCCCAGCTTTTTGTAGACCGCAAGCACGAGCTCTTTGCTCGAAGACGCACTTTGGCTGTACGGACTCTTGCTCCGCAGGAGCAACTGCCAGGGATGAAGCTATGAACTCGGGGATCCTCGCTTTCAGAAAATATCACCGTTAATCTACTAGTATTTCCTCAGACTGCTGCTATAAAAATAGCAAAGCAAACACTGTCATATGAAGAGATTTTTGTTTTTGTTTTTTGTGTAGACACGTGGAAGTTGATTAAATCCCGAGTGAATTGGGAAACGGGAATGATGGGTGCTTTCTTCTTTTATTAAAAAATGCCAGCACGTTGGTGGTGTATTGCCACTTTAGTTTCTGCCTTTACATCAGTAGTATTCTAAACAATGTAAAGCTAAAGTTGTCACAGGCAAAACTGCAAGCTTACAAAAAATAGAAAGCAAAAAGTGTCTTCTTTATAAAATCTCTTGACTCCCCCCCGCCATAGGTTGGCCTTCGACGTTTCAAAGTGTGGGCTTTCTGGCCCCCACTCTCAAATGAGCTTGAGACCCCTGATGTAATGCGTACAAAACCAAATGCTCATGGAAAGTATTGCCTACAAAAGCCATAGCGTGTTGTTGAGAAATCATCATAGAAGTTACTTTATTGGAGGGAATAAAAACGATGACGAATGAAAGCAGAAAAACATTCCCTTTGAAGGAGTTACCTACATCAGTCTTCTATGTTTATTATTTTAATTAATCAAAGTCGATTCAATTAGTCAAGTTTGTTGTGGCTTTACCACCTAGTGACATATAAATACTTATTATGTTTATCACTTATTGCCCAACAACATATTTTATTTAGTTAAATGGCTATCTTACACCACAGCACAAACATCAACAGGAGAACAAAAAAACCCTTCCCGAGCTAGTAGCTCCGTCGAAAGACCGAGGCCTTTTTAAAGACAGAGGTACGGACACCTGATTCTAACCCAAATCCTACGCTCATGTAGCATCCCATACGACAAGCAGAAGGCATAAAAAGCTCTTACCTCTTATACCCTTGTTACACGGGCACACTTACATGCAGTTATGCTAAGCCACAGTTAGCACACAATACTTGCGGACAACATTCTGCAGCTATGCAGTCAAAGCTATCGGCGAACGTGCGCTTGAGCATCTTGAGCACCCATCAAAGGTGTGCATGTATGCTCTTCACTTCTGAAATAGCTGTCCGAGGGTAAAGTGCGGTAACTGTGGTGCCGTGTAGCAGCAGTTAAAGCTGAGTTAGCCGCGGTTAATTAAGGGTGCCAGTATAACAGGGGTATTACAGGCATCCGTGCAGTCAAGCTACCACCATAAGTAGATTTGTGTACTACCACCTCAGACAATGACCGATTGATGCCTCTCGACATAGTTTGATTGAAGTCTCGAGCCACAGCCAAAACGAAACATAGAAGCCGTAACATAAAACAAAAACAGACGAACATGCACATGACATTAACGAAGAAGCAAGCCACAAACGCTCCATAATGGAAAGCACTCTTGAAAGCCACTGGCACGTTACATAACCGGTGATGTCGTCGTGGTGCTTAGGCTCGCCAGTGACTTTTATGCATATCCTCTTCTTCTGCAGCATCTCGGACTTCTTTGTAGGTGCTCGAATCTCACAAACGTATGAAAGGACACCCAAAAGTGAACGATTGAACACCCGGAGTCGAGGCCCATGCCCATGGTGGCGACGCGACGACAGTCGGCCTCCGGGTCGTAAGGCGGCAGTTTCGTTTCTTTTGTTGCGCATAATATACAATTTTGCAGTCCCAGCCTCAGAAATAAACGTGTTTTTATTATAAAAATGCTAACTTATACAAACGGGTGAATTTAATATTATATTTAGCAACAGTTTGAGTACAGCCCTACAGCTAATACGACGTTCAAATAGTCAACTGTCCAGAAACAGAGCAAAAAAGGGGAGAATATCAAGGAGAAGCCTACCTTCCAGGATTGCTACCTCCTTCTGACGCCTTCCCTCTCGGCAGGCACGTAGCCAGGATTTTGTTTCGGGGGGGAGGGAGGGGGGGGTATAAGAATCTTGCCACCCATGACAAAATGCTGTATGAAGGGAAGGGGAGAGGGGAGGTCCCAGCAAAATGAAAGATTTCGAGGGGGGCCCAGGCCCCATGGGCCTCCCCCCTGGCTACGTGCCTGCCTCTCGGTGGTGTTGCTCAGAGACTTGCTGATGTAGGGGGGAATGGAGAGAAGGAAACTGGGAATTGGTTTTCTGCCGTGCAGAATCGCCTTCTGCCCGGCAGAAGGCGATTCTGTAGGTTGGCCTTTAAAAAGGCATTTTCCTTTGGCCACTCCACTTTGAGTAAGCCAATTCAAATTCACCATTACAAGTAGTTTTAAAAAATAATTTCTTGTATTCGGAAGTTTTGTTATGCCTGTAGTTGATCACTGTGTGCAAGCACCAGTCATTCATTATTGATCTCTGACAACTCGCACAAATAAACATTTTTTTGTTTGTTTTCAAACAAAACAATGCTTTTGCAAGCGAGAAAGAGCTAGGCAATCAAGCGTACAGGTTTGCAGTGCCTCTACTTGACAGCACCGCTCGTGCCGTCGAAGTTTTACGGTTATAGGGATATTGAAAAGTCATCTTGAAGAAAGAACAAACAACAAAAACAATATTAATTTGGAGGTTGAGGAGCTTATGGAAGTTTGAGCAGTTTGTTGAGTCTACGGAGCCGAAGATGCTGACATTAACGAGAGACGCAGTCAGTGCGACGACGTGTCACCGCGACCTACGGGTGGCTCATTCGGAGGGGGTTTAAAATTCTGGCGCACTTCCTAGTTACCAGGCTCAAGCAGTGCTGGCTGGATTGGTGACTCCTAGCCTCCTTGTTGACGCCAGCGCAACACGTGGTAGCATACCAAGCTCTCCCGTGACATTACGGAGAAGATTCGTGACCAGTAGCGCATTGAAGGACTCTGGCAACGTGGAGCGCTAGTTCGTCTGCTACTTGCACAGGGGTTGCAATGATGTCGGAACGCCGACCTCTTATTGACTAAATTGAAAAAAATAGTGGGTAGACCTCAAGGCATCTAGCACTAAGGTCTACCCACTATCCTTTCGATCATAGCCAGTCAGAGCTCGACGTCCTTCTGATGTCACTGCAGTTCCTGCGCAAGAAGCAGACAACTTGCTCTCCGCATAGCTTGTGTATACGGTGACCCTGGATGCACCTTGCTTGCTCGTGTTGGTGTCCGTTGCACCGCAACAAGGTCATGGGAGAGGGTCAACGACGGAGCAAAGTACCTATTAAACTATCTTACGGTGTCTCTTTTTCTGGACAGGGGAGACCCGCTGTCCAACATGAACGTCAACTTCAGCTCTAAGGAGGCCGCCATGTCATTCTGCGAGAAGAACGGTAAAGTGTTGCAAGTTTAAGGCGTCTGTATCGTCTTCTACGTCCCTCTCTCGTTTTTGTAATTTAGACACCGACATGCTCAAATGTCCGCATTCCACGTTTCCGGCTCCTCCACGAAAACCCTGGACGTTGAGACAGAGAAGTTCCAGTTCGAAATTACGCCTCCACCCGGCTGATTTTGATTGTCAAGCGGTCAGCCTCGATGAGCAGATGTGGAGCAAACGCTCTCAGTGCCACCATAATCCGAGCCAGTTTGCTCTAGTCCCAACTGCTAATGCCTCTTGGTCTGTTTGGCAGCAGTCTCTCATTAAATGTGATCTTTCTGTCAGAGCTAATGTTACTAGACCAACTCGGTTATGGAACCCCCTCAGAGGAGTTGCTCCCCTCTCCCCCTCAAGTCACCACCCGTCGTTTGAAATGCCTTCTAGTGGCTGTGTTTCATAACTGTGTATTCCATAGAGCAGTGGTTCTCAAATGGGGGTCCGCAAAGGCATTCTAGGAATCCGGTGGTCCGCAAAGCCCGGCCTCATCAGTCAAGCCTGGCTATAAAAGTTATTTTTTTTTTTTACATTAAGAAGAAACGTTTTATTTCCGGGAGAGTTTTTTCGTGTGTATGTCAACGAGAGAAGCATAGCCCTTCGTTATATCTATTTATTAAATCATTATCTTAACTCAGCTATACCTTTCCTTTCCCGTCACCACAAACAGGGCCCTCCATCATCTCCGCCGATCCACACGGGGTCCGCAAAACATCAATGGTTAAAAACCACTGCCATAGAGTATGGTGAAGTGCCATCTAGCTGCTGTGCTTCGAAACATCTGCGTTCCACAGAGCATGCAATAGTTACCACAGCAGGCGTCTCCAAAATGGTGGTGCTTCGAACGAGGGGAGGTGGACCTTGGATGGAGAAGGGGGAAACAACTCGTGGAAGATGCATCTATGGATAGTTCCGTAACCGAGTTGATATAGCAACGTTGGTCAGAGCTATGCGCAAACGGTATCCGGCAGTAGCTTGCGCCACCTAGCTGACGACATTAAAGCCGTCCTACTTTTTTTTTTTCCTAAATTATTTCTTCCATTAAACTGCCCGTGATCGTCGACATTGTGTGTAGCGCAGGATCGGACGTATAGGGTTCATTCACCCAAAGTCTGGCTGTAAACTGAGCTGCAAAAGTCAACGTCTGCACATTGCAAGCTCAAATTTTCATCACAGATGTATTTTAGTTGTGGGCTTTGAGACTTGAAGGACATTTAAAGGAGCTGTGCAACGATATTCGATTGGAATGTTTTTCGCTCTACACGAGCTTACTGGCACACCTGGGACTCAAGGATACTCACACGCAACGCCATTGGCCAAGAAACTCCTTTATTGCGGTGTAATTTCAAGGACAAAAGCGATCATTTTCATTCAATCTCTCCTTTGCGAAATTTGATGACGTAACTCGGGGATCGCAGTACACCCAAGTGACGATATTTGAATGCGGTTCATAGATTGGACGCGAGCATTGCGTGGATACTCGACTTGGGCTCGTGACAATTGCTAGCTCGAGAAGCATTCCGGTAGTGACCCGTGTCCAATCGCTGCAACGACGACAACAGCCGAGCCATAACAATGTCTGGAACTCAGCGCGTGCCCTGTGCTTTGCCAACCCCAGCGCGTGGCTATGATCAACACTGGCGGCATATAATCGGCTCCAGATCGCGTGGCCGTTTGTTCTGGCTGCGAGTTGAGGGGGTGAACTTTGCTCGTTTTTCTTAAATTTTTTTCTGGGACTTCTATTGCGTGGGGTGAAAGACGAACGCGTGTTTCATAGGTCATTAACGTCAGGGATCCGTTTTAAGCGGTATTTGGGCACAGTACAAAAATTGTTGCACAGCTCCTTTAATGGTGCAGACAATAGAGCTTGGCCGACAGTTGTGTTGGGAAGTCCCATCAAGAGGTGGCGCCACTGGTCACTGAAAGCGGATGACGCAGGTAGGCGAGGTGTCTGCCACAAGGCTCGTGCAATCTTGTCTGCCTTTGCCTCTCTCAGTTTGGATGTTGATCTCACCGGACAAGATTGATTTCGGACAGAATGTGTAAGGCACAAAGATTGTCTTTGATTTGATCGACCACCACGGTCACAACATTTTCAATCTGAAACATGTTGTGCCAGCTCTCAACAGGAGCGCTAAACCCGACTCTCATTATCTTCCGGTCGCTGGACACGACCTGCCGCTTTCGACGGAATATTTTTGTAGCACATCATGAAATCAGTAGTGATCCCTTGTGATCACAGAAACGCTCTACCCGAGCGCTCCGGGTCTGCCAGATGAAAGGGTTATGGGCATGTATTGGCAATTTGTAACCTCATTTCCGATTTCGACTTGGTAAAGGGGCACCAAAGTGGTTTTAAGAGAAACCGCAAAATACCGCACAAGCGCCCACTGTTACCACTTCCCAAACGTGGGAATTCTGCAAATCATACGTTAAGCGCCCGATTTGTCTGGACGAGCGCCCGCGTCTAGATTAACCCAGTTTTCAGTGGAAATGGGCTGGGCGCTCCCCCCGGTATTTTACGGTAATCTTTTTCTTAAGGCTTTCTAGGATACTTAGGGCACATAGAGTTTGTGTCGTAAAAAGGCTTTCTGAAAAAAACACTAGTGCCCCAAGCTCTCTGTGGTCTCTCTAGGAATGGCCGGCACGGAGCCACCACCCTAAAAGTTTACCTGGTTCCAGGTTGGGACTACTTTGTGGACGAGCCAGCTCCGCGGAGGTCGCCGCGGAAGAATTACGGCGACAACTTTTCGTGGAACAAGAGGACGAGGGTGTCCACCAAATAGAGTCCTTGCTTTGGAACACATCGGCGTGATCAGTTGCGAGATCCACTCGAGGTTGATTGGCTTCAAAGTGTGCTGTCGCCTCATTAGGAGGAGGCAATAAAACGATTCTAGCGCTTGGTTGAAAAGCGTCAGTGCACCTTTTTTTTTCCTTTTCTTTTTTAGTGAGGAAATTTGTTTTTGAATACAATTTGCTCAAATGCTTTGCAGGATAGGGAGGGAAGTGCCTTTATGAGAATGCATCTGGGGTGATTATTTTTCATAATAGATGGGGATCTTGAATTGGATATGAATGCTGCGTCAGCGTTTGGCCGCGACTTGTATTCTGAGCGATTGAACGCCGACTTGGCACTCGTGTTCAATAGATGCTGGCCCTCAGTAGGTGGCATAGAAAATTGAGCACCCGGGCTTTTTATTACGGTGGTGTTGGCTCAACCCTGCTTTACACATATTGTGCTATAGATTTTGTTTTGTTTTTTTGTATAGAGACATACTAGAGAAGCACCAAGAAATTAAAAACTGTTGGCAAGGCATTCTTTACGAAATCTTGTCCCGTGGGATCTAAGTTGGAAATCTCTGGCCCCTCTTTCACCTTAATGTTCTAATGAAACATGCAGGCTTGTACCCCGCATTAAAATCAGTACTTTATTTCTCTACCTACGGTGCCACGCAGGGCACTACGGGAGGGGAGTAAACAACCCCAAATCAGAAAAACAATATCTACTAAAAACCAAGTTATACATATCTACCTGTAAAATATGCACATGCTTGCTGGGAAAAACAAGAGAAGCAGCAACATCAACTCAAGACAAAGGCCCATTAAACATGGGGAGAAATAATGCCTACTAAAACACAACCAAAAAGAACACACATAGGGTCTGCTTTCGAGTCATTAAAAAAAGAAATGGAAGTAACCCCAAATCAAAAGAAAAAGCGGAAAAAAAAAACATTCTAATAACCAATTCAAATGTATTTACATAGAATATGAATAAGCTCACACACAAAAGAATTACACTAGCTTGATCATGTTGATGACCGGGGAACATGAAATGTGCTGTGAATAAGCTGGGCACAGCCTATGTGTGCGTGCGACATCCACATCGCACAACGTTGTGCGACTCGTACTGTCCCATGACATCATAGTGTCACATGATGTGTTGTCACAATGTCATGCGACACTTTGATGTCAAAGTCATATAAGCAAATAGGCCCATGTGGATTCTATACTTTAATATATGGCTTTAAACTATGTTTAACACTGGAAAGTTCCACTGGAATTTATATAATGGAATTTATATAATAAAACATTCTGTGCTAAAAGAAAACAAAAAAAACAGCAGTCTCAGTTTACAAAACAAAGGCACACATGTCAATGTACACAGTTTCAGAAACTACTAACATGAGAACTAATGCTAGCTGAAACACGGCTAATTGGAATACATGTGTGGTCTGTTTTCAACTCTGTCACATTGTCCATCGTTACTCAAGTCAGCAGAGTTTGCACGTGCACGAATCCCACACACTTGCCGAAGTCCGATTAATTCACACCCAGCAGAACGCTTTGTTTTCTCGAGTTCTGGCGCGCCGCCGTGGCCTTAGTCGTTCCGCATCACACTTCGTCAACCGACGAAGATCTCTGCGACATCTTGCCGCCGTCCTGCGACGTCGAACAAGACGTCACCGGCCGGCCTTCTGCTGCAGCGGGCTGCACCTGGTACGAACCGGAGCGCCGGTTCATCTGCAGATGGAACACGCTCTCTCCGACCTTCCTCCTCGCCACGACGCGCCTCTGACGCTTCCTGTACACTAACAAGACGGCCGCAATGACTGCAATCAAGACCATCGCCGCGATCATGACGAGCAGTGCAACGGGAATCCCAACGGCTCCACTTCTCCCCTGCGACGTCGACGAACTCAGCGATCCGGTGGCATGCACGGAGCCAAGCTTGGTCGTCGGGATCTGTCGGCAGTCCGCCGGGAGGTCAAACGATCCGGCGCTGAAGCAGACGTCATAGTCATTGCGAGGGTCCACGTGACCCACCGACAGCTGTCCGCCCGAACTGCAGAAGACTTCAGTGCGTGTGAGGACGTCCTTGTTTTCGAGTACGGTCACGTTGAAGCGGCAGTTTGGGACCTTGCGCGTCGCTGGAGACAGCCACCAGGTCACGACGAGTTCATCCGGCTCCGAGAGATCCGTGCGGAATGTCAGGCGGTATCGAAAGTCGTCGTCGTCCGGCGTCGCTGCGGTATCGGTTGCCGCTTTTGTCGCATTGCTAACCGGAGAGACTGTTGCGTCGAACCTCAACATGGTAGTAGTCGTTTCCGGCTCCTCCGAACTTTGAGTTGCGGTCGTTTCAATCTTATGGGTTGTGGGGTTTTTCATGGTCGGTCTCAAAACGTCGGTTGTATTGACATTGGTGCAGTTTTCGGTGACTCTGGTTCTGTCCTTGACGATCGTCAAGCAAATCTCGTAGCGCTGTGCCGGCTGGACGTTCAAAATGACGAAGGTTCTGTTCCGCGAATCCGGGGGGCACGAGCCAGTCAGGTTCGTTCGGTACGAGCTCTCGACGACGCCGACAGAAAGGAAGCACGTGAATTCGTCGAGAGGCGCGTTCGCACTGAATGCGTTCCATGTCAACGAAAGCTCGTCGTCGACCAGTTCGGTGTGGACGAGCGTGATGCGACCTCTGAACGGCACCACCGTAACCAGCGGTACTGCCGTTGATAGTACTGTAGTTGTCAACGACGTCGGTTGCAGCGTCTGGCCCGGGGGTGTCTGTGTTGCCGTCGAAGATTCTGTAGTAGTTGCAGTTGGCATAGCAGTGCTTGGGCTCGTGGAAGAAGGGGTTGTGAGGACTGTGGTCTGTTCTGTCGCCTTGCAGAGAGAGTCAAAGTCAAACTCCGCCACAGTCGTGCTACCGTCGTCGCACATTGCCGAAGAGACGGCCTCTTTCGTGAACGTTGGGCCTTTGAGGAGCCGCGAGAATCCGAGCAGTTCGCAGCCACAGTCGAGTAAGCTGCCTGGAAATTCAAGGAAAAGGGGTATTCATGAACTCGAGGCTTGGTGTGCAGTGATCGCAGAATTTTGTTGAGCGGGCAAAGCACGAGACAAACTAATGGGCGCCGCGGACAACAACAAAAATTAAGTTTTAGTCTTGTGAGCCTTTGTGCACCTGTGAAATCTGTTGAGCAGTTTGTACAGAAGATTTGTGAAATCTGTTTTTTGAGTTATGGCTTCACGAAATATAAATGAACAGCCCAAACAGTTCTTAAATACAAAAGCACGAAGGACAATGACAGAACAAAGATACGAACTGGACAAACGCTTACTATCAACTGATTGTTTAATGCATGATAAAAGAAAGACGAAAATGAGAGGAGAAAGACTAAAGAGAAATCCCTTTGCCCTTTTGTATTTCAGATGTTTACCCAACTAGTTCAACCGTTAATTTTGATTCTAAAAAGTTCAATGGGGTCATTGCCCCTTTTCACTTTCAACATTCAGTCAAATTTCTCAGTTTGAATATATTGCATGATAGATGCTGGTAGATGTGTGCAGATAAATTTATTGGGAATCTTTTAGTTCGAGTGAAATTAGAATACCATAGCTCATTAGCTTTTTGTAAAAGTGTACATTGGTCTCTACTTGCAGTTAAATTGATAGTCGCTGCCAGATTACCAGTAGTGCCTTTTGTTATTTTCTGTGGGAAAATTAACATTGCATTGTACCAGAACTACCACTACATGACACAGCACGAATATAACTCAAGCTTTTTGTTGCCACGGGCTTGCACAAGTTGGCATAAAACACAAAAATTTACCAGCTGGATTCCCACTGCATAGAGTGCATCCCACTGCACCAGTAGTTCCATCATATAGTGAAGTGCGGGGCCATTGCCCTTTCCCTAGAGGATCTGTACATCATCAGTTCCTCCCAAGGAACTCTCGCTCCTTCGTTTTTGTTGCTGGTGCTTGGCGCCTGGCAGAAGTTGCACTTTCTGCCAGGCCCCTGCAATTGGCCGAATGGCTGGTACTGCCTTTAGTGCCCTTTCCCTCTTTCACGGTAAAAAAAGGAAGGCAATGAATCCTTCTCTTTCTTATCCTAAGAGTGCAAGATTTTGATTACACATTTCATATAGAAGTGAGCTGCTTATGCATAAAATTTGTGGATCTTTCGATTTGGTGAAGTAAGCCAATCATGTCTGAGCAGTAAAAAGACAAATTCAAACACCACTGAGTGCACGCTTGAGAAAGAGTGCATTTTTATACCTTCCCAAAAAGCATTGGCAAAGTTTCGATCGTATAGCAGTCTTACCTGTGAGAAGGACGCTCCGAAGGCGGGGACTACTCTCGAAAGCACCCGTAAAGATGTACTCGATGTTGTTGTGCGACAGATCCGCGAACTCGAGCGCCTTTAGGTCTTGCGTGTGGTTCCAGTTGACGTAGGTCAGCTTGTTGTTCGAGAGATTGAGCGACTTGAGGGACGTAAGCTTAACAAACGCCTTAGAGTCCACGATGCTGATCCCGTTCCCAGCAAGATTAAGCGTTATCAAGTCGCGTAGCGACGCGAACGTACCTGCCGCCACGTAGGTGATCTTGCAGTAACTGACATCGAGCGTCTTCAACTTGTGCAGCGTCGAAAGCCAGTCCGGCGAAAGCGAGCTCAAGAGATTGTGAGCAACGGACAAATTGACGAGCGACGTCAGGGGCTGTAGGAAGTCGAGCTTCTTCAAGGAGTTGTTCGTCAGGTCGAGGAAGACGAGCTTGGAGAGGTTGAGCACCACCATCTGGTCACGGAGCTCGTTTCGAGCGAGGTCGAGCGATTCGATGGAACCCAACGAAGCGTCGAGTGAAACGAACTCGAGTCGGTTGGACGCGAGCGTAAGGTTTTGGAGGGTGGCGTTCCCAAATGGGCTCGAGTCGAACGTCGTCAGGTTGTTGCCGGAAAGTTCCAGTGTGAGCAGGGACGGCAGGTGATAGAACGTGCCGACGGCCACGGACGAGATGGAATTCTGTCTTAGGTCCAATTCGACGAGACTGGTAACATTGTCGAATGAATCGGATGCGAGCTCTACGATTCGGTTGCGAGCCAACTTGAAGCTTTGCAGGTTTGCGAGATCCTGAAGCGCCGCGGTCGGCACGGATGCTAGCTCGTTGCCGGAAAGGTCAAGACAACGGAGAGAGGCCACGCCGACAAACGCACCAGGCGCGACTTCGGTGAGGTTGCTTTCAAGGACTCGTAGGGTCTGCAGCGATGCCGACGACAGGGATCCGTTCTCGAGCGAATGTAGGGAGCCCACGGTGATCTCAACGGTGTCTACTGTCTCGTTACGAGGTACGCCGAGCTCCTTGTCGATCAGCGGCATGACGGACATTAGCAGCTGGTGTCCCCTGCACCGAAGCTCGGTCGAAACGACCGCACAGCTCACATTTGCGAGCGTCGACGTAAGAGCACTTCCATCTTGTGCGCTCGCGACGCCAACCAGCGACGCGAAGATGAGGAGGCTAGACGTCGCACTCAGCATATCTGAACGGTTTGCAGTCTGTCGTTCGTTTTAGAGGAATGCCGGTCGCTTATGAGTGTTCAGAGGGGCACAGTCAGAGGCAGGAAGTGGTCTTAAGGGAGGGGTGTTTAGGAGAGGAGATTGCCAGGAAGTGGGCTTCCTCCCCTACCCTTCTCACTTCCTCCTCTGTCTGCGCTTATCGGGACGAGCGTTGCGGAGAGGGCACGGGGCTTTCTTGCGGGGAGCGTTGTTGGGAGCTTCCTGAGGATTTCCCTGCAGTCGTGTCGTACTTTCCGCGCCGATCGTATCGCGTAGAAGCATGCAGATGTCCTTGACAAGTCTGCGCGTTTTCTTGCGGGCCTCCCTAGGTCACTTCATGAGACTCTTTGTGGGGTTGTTAGATTTCCGGTGTCAAAAGTGTCGTTTTGATTGCGTCGTCCAGCCCAGAGTGTCCTTTTCATTTGCTATAGTTGGCGAGACTGACTAACAATTCCGTAGAAGCTGCGCCTCCAGCATGTGCTTGTTTGCCTTTCGCCGGGCTTTGGCTGCACGTGCGACGGAAGTGCTATCAAAGGCAGGAAGCTCGAGGCGGAGCATCTACTACGATTTTAGCCTGTCCCCGACTGTAGCTAAGCTTAAAATTTGTAACAAAAACATCTCTCCTGAACTTTTGAATCTGACAAAACTGCCTTGATGGTTTAAAATTTGTTCCAGTTTGTTTGGAAGATCACTAGAGAATGGGACATTAATAGACAGTGGGCACAGATAACTGAGTTAGCATAGAATCGACAGGGTAATTTATTATAAACGAGAGAGCTCCTAAAAGTGTCGTAGATGTCAGCTGCCCACTTTTTGTTGAAGTAAAGACAAGATCTCAGCTGCTGTTGCTGGCGAGGCAATCATCACCACTTTGTCTTTCGAGCGCGACCCCTGTAAGGAAAACATGACTGTAAGCTGTGGAAGTGTGCCAAGAATGTAGCGATTGGTGCGCAGAACGACTTGTGTACCTTTTCTAGTGAGACGTCGCTCTTTCGAAGGTTCAGCACTTTTGCCAGGAATCGCACAAGTTCTGCGTTGGCTTCTCCGTCCATTGGAGGCGCCGCAATCTGGACGCCTACACCATCCGTTCCAATATCTAAATTAAAGAGAAAGGCTATTTGAAGGTGAAACCAGGTACACATCTCATAAAAAAATGTTTTCAACTACGGATGGTGACAGTGGCAAAGCATTTTCAAAGGCAGAAAACTCACACTCGAGGTGAAACTATATTATATAGAAGTTTTCCATATAATCTTCTCAAACTTTGGTTATGAGAGTCAAATGGCAAAAGTGAGGTTTGGTGTCATAAACACAAGCTTATTTCTGGGTGAAAACTGCGGAAATATGGGCCTGCAGGGTTTATATTGTGGGAGCCTGCTGTAAGCACTCGCTATCAAACTGTCATGGTTTTCATTTTCAAAAGACTATCTTGTTCCCGGCATCGGACTCTCGAGCAATCGTAAGAAATGAATCAATTGCAACAACGCTACTGGTAGTAGTTGGCATTTGTCAATTATTTCCAATTTATTTTATATAGTTTTAATTGTGAGTGTGTGGTGAAAGATAAGAGCATCACTAGATAGCTTGAAAATATGCATTGCTAAGCATGAGCAACGAAAATGCATGTTTCACATGATTGTTAATCCAAAGCTCATACTAAATCAAAGGCTTTGTCAGCGCTGGAGAGTATGGGTTCAATGAATTTCACGACGAGAGAAGACATCTAAGGTAGGGTTGCCACCTTTCCTCTAAGAAAAAACTGGCCATTCCAGAGGGGAGGGGGAAGGGGGGGGGGGGGGGGGGGGGATAATTATGTAAGATTTAACTGGTAAAAAAGAAAGATGCAGTGTTGACAGTCCTGATTGATACACGGGCTCAACTAATTTGGATATGAGCTTCCCAAAGTGAAAAGAACATAATGTTTTAATACATCACAGCACATGTAAGTACACAAATACACAACACTGAACTCAATAACATAATGCATACCATTTAGTCAAAATGAAAGCGCCAAAAACCAATTGTGCACTTCTACTCATATGGTGCAGCAGGTGGAGAAGCGATTATTGCAATTTGCACACTGAGCATATGCTCAGTGTGCAAATTTCGAGCGATAATCTATTATTTTCAAAAATTGCTGGTTCTGGAGGTTTGCTCGTGAGTGAGGGTATAGACCACAAGCACCAGGCCAAGCTTGAAAGCTCATGGTCACTCGTGAATTTGTGTAATGCAAGCATGTTTTCATACCTATTGAATCATGAATTACAAAATGACTGTGTCCTCGAATTCAATGTTTTGTCTTGCTCGATTTCTAGGATCTCTTTCGGTAGATCACAAAGACTCTCTAAGCTACACTGAATAGTAAACGGGCCAGACCTTTACGAAAATAATTCTTTGCTGCTAAATAAACAATTCCATGTACCAGAACATTTACAAAATTAGCTTAAAAATTTACAATGCATGTGCCTATATACTCAATAACGTTGATGGTCTAGAATATATTTCTCAATGCCACCTCCCCCCCCCCCCTTTCCTTAAAATACAAAAAGAAGAAAAGGGATTGTGCTTAAATATTTGAAAGAGAAAAAAAAACAAAGGGGGGGGGGGGGGGGGGGCAAATGACAGCTGGTTTTAGATACTGACCAGCAACCGGCCTTTTTCCCAAAAACCGGGCAGGTGGGGCAACCTCAATTCTTAGCATCGAGAAAACTAGAAACTATACAGTAATAAAACACCATCAACGAGCAATGAACAACCTGGAGCGCCTTTAGCGGACGCCATCGCAACTGCGCATGTGCCGTGGAGTGTGGGTAAAAAGCTCGCTGTCGCCCAGAAAGAAACCATTGAAATGCTCTGTTGTCGGCATCTGTGCGAGTCCCCATGCTCTTTTTCACGTTGGAATTGTTGATTCTACGTCTTCCTGGCAATGTCCGACTACTTTAGCGGCCTCAGTGAAATTAACTAGGTTCGTTACACCGCAAAACTTTGCGTGAATAATATAACATGCGGCGATTCATTCCGCGTGGACGCTGCAGAATGGACACTAAAGCCTAATTTGCATGATGGGATTCTGCTCGCTATTTTCAGTCACAACGTAGCTCGGGCTGCAAAATCGTGAACCGTAGCCGAGATGGTCGACGTCAATACTGAAAATCGCAAGCAGAATCGGACCGAGTAAATCAGGCATAACAAGTCGGTGCTGGCCACTAGTAACAATTATCAAGATCTCCTTGTATTTACTGTTTACCTCCAAATTTGAAAGTCTTTTGAGGACTGCACTTACTTATTCTCGCAATTACTGGGTCAACACTTGGTCTACGGGTCGCTGTCCTTTGAACGAGCAGACGACAGCTCGAATGATCATGCAGCCGTTTAAACTTGATGATGCACTGAATGTAGTCCGCGGCTGGTCCGTACAACTTGACGGTTTTTCCGCGTTCATGTTGGAACAAAAATAAATAAATCTGACGACCAGAAGTACCTGTGAATTCAAAGTGCTTCCCGCACAAGCAATCATCGTCCGACGGCGTCTGGCTTTCTTTTTCACGGCCCCTATCCACGCCCTCAGGCGAACCGAGCAGGCAGAAAACACACGAAAACTGACCCTTCAAACCTTTCCCCAACTCTTTTGGTACAACCCCAGTCAAGCGTTGGACGAGAAGCCAGCTTAGTGTCTGGTTTCTTAAAAAAACAAACAAAAAAAAACAGGAATGTATGTTTCGCATCGTGACTTCCGCCCACAGCCCCCTAAAGGAAGAGCGCCCGACACGCCGACGTATGCATCTGTGCATGCTGGAAGCTCTCAATATATCAAAACGTTATGGAAAAGTAAGCAGCCCATGCTAAAAGTGGGACGAATTCTCAGCCACCACAGAATCAAGCTCGAACTAATTAACTCATAAGTGAGCATGTGGAAAAGGATCCGCACTCTAACCACTAGCCTTTCAAAGCTTACAAATATATATTTTTCTTTTTTTTCTCTCAATCGTGGCATACAGAATGTAGCTCGACTAAACATTTGTGTAGCGTGCAGCAGGACTCTGGCACAGACCTTCTGCTGTCACCACTGAAACATCTTGTGGGTACAAATAAAGATTATTGTCATTCACCCGTAATCCTGCTCTCAGACGCTCCTGGCTTTGCGTGTACTCTGATGGCCACAGTCCCCGAAGAGGTTGTGTACACAGGATCGTTTTGTTGAGCAGACGCCTGCAATGTGAAGCAAATTGGAGCGTTCAAGCTAAACTGTTTGCAACAAAAATGGGACGCATGCAAGAGACACCTTGGGCTTCGAATCTTCCACTTTGCCCTTGTCCTTCTTGGCCTTAGGCATCTTCACTGCTCCCGTGGTGGTGACAGACCTAACGCAAATTCGTGCACAACCAGAAATGATAACCATCACTACCACAGGTCATTACCATCAACAAAACACTGACGACACGGTCACACGGTTTTGACTTGAATCGACCGATAGACACGTGACCTTATAGTGTTACGGTTTTACGCCTTAACTTCAACGAAGTACTGCGCACAAATAATTTCTTATTGGTCTTTAATAACAGTACCGACGAGATAAGTTATGTTTCGTTTGTTTTAAGTCCAAAATGTGCTTTTACAACAAAAACTCGGACAGTTTCGCAACTACTCCGCTAGATGCCGTTAATTGCGGTGCTGAATTTTGGATTTTGGACTCGCCCTACATACAAATCGCTGGTCATGTTCAGTTTATTCGACTTTTTTTTTTTTTTAGAGATAGAGTGTTTGTTTTTTTTGGATCGAAAGCGAAAGCAGCGAAAGTTTGTCAGTGTCCTGTCGTTTCACAAAAGTATAAATTTTGTAAACTAGGTGGCGCAAGTCACCGTCTAATAACCCTCGTCACTACCAGTCATTATTTTATTTACTTCTATACTCTTTGTAAACATGACCCACATGACCGAAGGACCGAAGTTTGATCGCGAGCGTGGCCGAATTTTGATCGCGAAATTTGGTCGCCCGCTGCGTTCTGTGGTCGCATTATGGTTCGAATTCGTCGGCCCCGTGGGTTAACGAACAACCAGCTCATTTTCACCACCGTACTGGGTCTGGCATGTTCGGTCTATATCTGGTATCCCTACATTCAAGAACTGCGCCAGCTGCGAGCACAGGCTGCGGCCGCTGCAGCCGTCGATGATCAAGCACCCACCGAGGGAAAATTGTGAGAAAAACATCTTGTTCGTATGAGGCTGAAAGGTATTAGACACTATGTTAAACTACAATCATATCTTTTTTTTTTATTTCAAACTTTTAATCTTTTCAGGTGATACTGTACGACGATAGGTCGGAAGGACATAGCCACGAGTAGGTCGCAGACGCTGAGAACAATACAGTGAGCGGACGGACGGACGTTCAGGACGATGAACAAGCAAAACGTTGGCTCTTACAAGATGGCTCTTCCATTTTTTGTTCTCTCTGAGGATGTACCATCCGGTGACTTTCTGACTGGAACATGTCTCGGTTTGTGCATGAAGCGAGCGCAACAGCGCCCTGAAGACCGACCTCCAATACATCTCTCTGCAGAGCGGAAAATCTTTCCCTTTGTCTCTCTGCTTGGGAAAGACTTACTTGTACCAGCTACGTTGCGAACTTATCTACAATAAAGCAAGACTTCGCAACGACTAATGAAATCCTTCGATTCGACTCGTTTGCCTACAGTCACATCAACCGGCCCAATAGCTGCACCATACCAATAATATTGGTATGGTGCAGTGACACCACATGCAAGCCATGTTTATAAGATATCAACTGGGAGCCATGTTCGAGTGTGCTGTCCACAGCACATGCTCAGGACGAGCTGCCACTTGTGGGCTGTCAAGACTGGCAATCTTGGTGGTGTGGAAATACAGGCTGGAAAAATGCTGGAAGCTTGCTGTCAACAGCCACTGACTTGGCTATGGCCACGAAAGTCATCGAATCCTAGGAAAGTAGCGTCGAGGTACCCACATGGTCGCCATTTTGGTTTATGGAATGAGCAGTTTCTCCAAATTTGCAGGGACAGGTTGCATTATGAAGCCTTTCTTGTAAACTAATATTTTATTATCCACACACCGATGAAGCAAACACATCTTCGCGCCGATACCACATATGTGGCGTCGTTACTTGATGGCATTAAAAACAATTTTCCTATCGCAAGATATGCACTAAGTACAATACTATCATAAGTGATCTGTATAGATAAGCCAGATCGATACAATAATTGCATATACGCTGCCAAAGAAGCTTAAATTGATGAATGCGCTTAGTACGACGATCCATCGCGATCTTGGCGCGGCTGGTTCGGTCCACTCTTTCGAAGATTTGAAAGAACCGAAATGGTGATTAGCAACAGATGCCAATCGCCTCGTGAGGTTTTTATCGTCTCTGTGTTAGTATCTCTTCGTCTCTTGCTAGTGGGCCAGGAGGCAGTGGTGCTACTTTCACCATGATCCAGCAACTTTAATGGCTACCAATGAATACCCCCATATGAATAACAACAAATGTCTGAATCTTTTTTTTTTTTTTTCGGAGAGCCATAGTTATAGCAATGGATCTCAAAATAATGTACACTTAAAAAAATACAGCCTAAAGGGTACTTCGGCATCTGCAGAAGGGTTTGTAGACAATATTCGCAATTTTCGCAACCTATATACCTTTCCAAAAAAACGCTCCAAGGCTGCCGCCATGTTGCTGATGCGGCTGGTGCGACTCTCGCGCCCCCTATCAGCTAGAAATTTTCTGCCACTCTCTTGGACTGTGGAAACCTAATGTCCCTGAATAAGAAAGGTAGCGACATCTCCCTCCTCCTCTGACGCACCCACCTTTTATCTTTGTGTTTTGCTCTTTTACAGCCACGCGTTGATTGTAGCGCCGCCTGGATCGCTCCAAGTTATCAGACGGCCTTCCTATACTTGAGTCAGAGCACAGTCAAAGGTTGAAAGACGCGCAAAATACATACATACAGGCTCAAAAACGCAATGTCACGGTCTACCAGCCTCAAAGAATGTGCTGAAAGGACCACGATGAAAGCCGTGATGTTACACAGTCGGCGTTATTTGATTGGCGACATGAGCTCATAGCATGCACTGCACTCCGACAGCATAGGCATTCCTTCTCCCTCCTTGTCTCTCATGCACACTCTTATTGTTATATTTTGCTCTTTCACGCTTGCGCGTCGACGGTAGCGCCGCCTGGATCGCTCCAAGATAGCAGGCGGCATTCTTCAAAGGATGTCGCTACAGGGGCTTTATGGAAACCCGCTCAGCACGATTCTCTACCTATGCTTTGTGGATTTGCATTCGAAGTCTTCCAGCCCCTCTTGAAGGTTTTCACTCGATTTTCCTGATGCATGCCGCATACCCTTCCTGTGTCGTCTTCCCCTGTGAGAAATAGGGCTGGTAAGTGCCTGGCCATTGAAGCGTTTTTGCTCGACATTCACGGGAAACGAAGGAGGGGAGGGACGTCGAACGACCCTCAATGCTATTTTGCAAACAATGACAACTGTTCTCCCCCCTCCTAGAAACAATCCGCCTAGAGTCCTTCTCAGTCATAGCCACAAATAGTTGTTTGGGTTGGAGACAGTTAGTTGCACCCGTTCCTTCGCCTTGTTGCTGGTGCGAAAAAAGGAAGCTCTCCCCAAAAAGTGCCCCAAAACGAAGTCATCTTGGACTCCGCCTGATTGTCAAGATGTGACTGTTGTCGACTGTGACCGTGTTATGTTAGATCTTTTTCAAATTCTTTTCAGATAAGGCTGCATCGCGTGGTATGTACAATATATTCTTTGAACGTTGGCACTTGCTAAAATGCATGTCCGTGTCCTGTCCATCGGTAAAGACGTTGCGAGCGTGAAAAATGCATGCCTTTCAGCTATATTTTATTAGAAATTATTTTCGACAGCTCAGCGCTTTGTCGTTTGACACGCGGCTAATCAAGCGGCGCCATCAAAGCTTATCGTAAAAACTTTCAGCTTTTCCACTCTGGTGAAGAAGAAAGAGCAGCAGAGCTACAGCTTCTGTTCTCGGCAGTGGCTTTCCATGCGAGCGATCTGCTGTTCTTTCGCAAGGGAATCTGAAGTGCTCGACACAGTGGAACTTGGGCGATAGAGGCTTCGCAACGGTTGCGGAACCATTTGCGCTGCTGCGCACATCGCTGCTCGTTCTGCTCCCGCTCTTCTTCTGAAGGAAGGTTGCCATTATCTATTAGCGACGGCGGCAACCAGTTGTCTGGTTGCTGCCGTCGCTCATAGATGGAGGTAGCTGTCCAGAGTTCGGTGTCATCATTTCTGATCCGGCGGACGCGATCCTGGGGAAACTTGCCCTTAATAGCTCCGCTGTAAAGGAAAAAAAGGACAACTAACATTCCAGTCGCATTCGTTCTGTCACGCACACACCCAACAAAAATAGCTTTTTTTTTTTTGCTTTTTTGAATGCAGTACAATGCTTTCTCAATGTCCTCAGAAAAATACATACACCGTGAAACACAGAATACAACGGGAAAAACGGGGAATTTAGCCGCCAGCAGTGTTTTAAACTGCACCTATCGAAATCGGTCCACTCAGTTAGGGTTAGCAGGGACGCCAGGGAGTGTCTAGCCTCAAACCCAGTGACAAAAACGGTTGCCCCTGTGGTCAAGTGTTTTTTGGAGAGGTGTATAGACCGTTCCACTAGGAAGAGCAGAGAGAAAAAATGCCCTCCCCCTCTCACCCTGCATGTCGTCTGTACCTAATATCTAGTGGCATTCCAAACCCTGTTTAAAATCGCATAATTTCGGTAATTTCAAGCATAGATGCGCGGATTTTAATATGGTAGTTGTCGTGTAATGCTATGTTCAATAAAAAGACTACGAGTTCAATTGCGCTGGTATCTGTGTGCAAATAAAAAAAGGAAAATTGAGTCGGAGCGGTTGGTCCTCCAGCGAAAAGTAAAGCCGGTTGCAATAACTTTGAATATACTAAGTTTGCACTGCTGTAGGCCTTTAGCAACAATCCGTGGAAGTCTGGAATAACAAATAAAAACATGCTCTCCTGACGCAACAGGCGCAGTGGTTGGGGGTAGTACTGCCGACTGACTCCACTGCTAGTGAAGTAACGGAACAAAGATACGCTAGTTGATCCTGAAATAAAACAATTTTGGAGTGGCTATAAATATTCTAAGAACGCGAACCACTTCACAACGGCAGCCACGAGCGAGTTCAATGTTCGGTACAGCCTGCCGGTGCAGCCCACAAAGATGGAGAACGGCAACCTCGAGGTTTGTCATCTGCTAGCGGAATCGATCGCGTGCCCTCTCTCTCGTTTTACCCCGCCGAACCTGCTGAACTTCCCAGATGAGTGGACGGGCGCTGCGGTCAAACAAAATGGCGCCGCCCTAAGAGCACTAAATGGAATGGTCAGTGGTTGTCAACTGGATGATCATTGCAGAACAGCAGTACATGGTTGAGCCTGCGACCCACAATTCTAATTTTGTTAAATACTAGCAATACATCAGGAAGGTGTAAGCAAGCACACGCATTTTGAAGCCGATTGTCCAGGAGCTAGGGAGCACGATTTCCGCACCATCGCTGAAAGTGCAAATATGAGACAGCCACCCACCTTTGGTTTGTGCCCAGAAGCGGGTAGTTACAAGTCATTTTGTGACGTCTGGCACTATTCTAGTGTACACTGTGCTTTAACAGTAATTCAGAAAAGGAATAATGTGCAGAGATTTGGAAAACAAAAGGTCCAACAGTACACAACATTTTGCCAAGGGATGGACGGGACTAGGTTCTTAAAGAAGCTAACCTTAGCCAAAGGTCAGCTACCATTCTGTAGCTCTTTTGCCATGATGGATAAATCCTGTAAAAAAAAGGGCACACAAACACATTTCTTATCTTTTTCACAGTGTTCTTATTGACATCAGCATTACAGCTTCCAGGGGTCTCCTAGTCGATGGCACGGCAACTTGACAGTTTACACCTGCAATATTAAGAGATAATACACAGTCAGTATTTCCCTAATGAGTAAAGGGAATTTCTTCAACACTGGACTGAAATTTATATGGATAATGTAATGCTAATAACTGTCTAATATACCACATTCATACCATTGATGTAATCCCGCATGCTTTACAGGAACAACAGCAATCGGACAAATGTGTAAGCACATCCACACTGAACAAGAAACGTCGCCCTGTCTCTTCGATGGCTCACGAAAGTGCCACGAAAACCAAGTAATACTGCGTGTGGTTGAAAAAACATCAGAGTCTCTCGCAGCGTGTAAATCAACCGCATGTCGCAGAATGCTCACCCTTCACAGGAGCGTAGACCCTTCACCATGTTACCCGAATCAAAAGTTTAAAGCAAATATTTTGTAGAATCCCTGGGAGAGACCATAATATAAGTAAACGGCTCGTGGTAGCGCATCAACCGCTTTGGCAGCAGGGTGCTGGTTCGGACCCGGTCTCGTAGTATCAGTTTTTAAACACTGCTCCTTTAACTAAATTTTTGAGCATAGCAGTGTTGAGAAAAATGGCTTTCAGAAGCTGCCACAGTGCGACGACGTCCATTGCCTACGAAGGGATTGCACGCTGTGCAGGGACCCCATAACCAAAGGGGAGGGGGGGGGGGGGGGGGGGGGAAAGCGGGGGCTTGAGCACTTGCTGTCATTTTCCAGGGG